ACTGCTAAATTCTAAACACCAGCTTGATCTCGTCCAACTTGGGTTTGGGGTTTTTTTGGGGTTTTGGTTTTGGTTTTTGGTTTTTTTGTTTTTTTTTCATTCCCAACACTTGAATTTGAGGGGAAGTTTGGAGGTGAGGGACTGAGAGGCGAGCAGGGGCTGCTTCCCCAAGCAATAATGTCGGGCTGCTCCGGGTCAGGGCAGGCGCTGTTGAGGGGGGCTGGGGCCCGCGGGGGGGGCCGGAGGCCTGCGGCCCGGGCTACGCCCTGGCAGAGCGGGGCAGCCGGGTCTTGGTCTTAGCTCAGGTGCCGCAGGAGGAAGGCAAGTGGCACCACTGCACTTTATCTTCTGAGATTGCAAAAAAAAAAGAAAAAAAAGAAAAAAACAAAGGCAAGCAGACCCCTACCGCCCGGCGAGGGGACAGCAATGCCACCTTCTCCCCCTGCATTGCTTTTAGCTGACTTCCCACCCGCTCGGCTGAGGCTTTCACGGCTGCGTACGGCAGCGGCGGCGTTGGGGCGTGTGGCGGCGTTGGGGCCTGTCTGACCACGCACAACCCTGCCCAGCCTCTGGCACCGCCAGCCGACCGCCCCGTGCTTCTGTGCCACTTCTCTCACACTTGTTGTGCCTGTGTTTAGCTGACGAACTAAAGCCAGACGCAGTAGTTTGGTGTGCGGTTGGTTTTGGTTTTTTATTTCTTCTAGGACCGCTTCAGTTTTAGTACGGATTTTTTTTTTTTTTAATTTTATTTTAAGGCAACAGCTGTACATATTGCTAGCCTGGGAAGAGCGCCATGGGCGGTGAAATAAAAAAAACCACAACCTACTTTAGTTTCCTATCTGGAGAGATTGGGGTGAGCGGGTTGGTGCTGAACCCTTACATGAAGACTGCAGAGGGGCTGTGGGCTGGCCGGGCGCCCCCCGGGGGGGGGCAGAGCAGGGGAAGGAGCTGTGTTTGCCGTGGGCTTGACCTAGGGTGAGAGAATGCGAGTTGACTTGGGGAAAAAAAAGAAGAAAGAAAAAAAAAAAAAAAAAAAGAGTTGTGCTCTGAATTAGCTGCGCCGTGAATGTACGCGTGCCTGTCCTGGGATGCCTCGCGTGGGTCCTGGCTTTCCCTGCCTGGTGGGGCCGGCAGCGAGGGGTGGGCTGGGGTGGCCAGAGCAGCCCCGTGGTTTTGGGAGGGCAGGGGCTGGGGGGGGCTCAGCCC